AAACTGGTGGCAGAAGAGAGGGAGAAGGGAAATGATACTAAAACTTAACTTACATTGAATAATGTAACAATAGCTTAAAAAGTAACTCAGAAAAGATTTTTAAAAAAATAGTCTTGTTGTAAATATATATATATATATTTTTTTTTAATTTTTTTCATTGTTTTTTACTTTTTTTGCCTCACTTCCACCAGCACTTTCACTGGATAGAGGTCGCTTGGTAAAATGACTTAGGTAAATGTTATTAATTTAAACTGAGCAGCAATAAGCAGCAAACTCTCTCTCGGGGCGTTTCCCTCCAGTCCCGCGTGTCCACTCGAGATAAGCTCAATGTAATTATGTTAGTTATGTTATCGTCTAAATAAATCCTTGTTTTGTTGTTAATTGGTGTCTTTACTTCGAGTATCGCTCACACTTTACCGACGACCTCTCTCACTTTTTCCATTCGACCTGACAAAAAGAATCCCGACTATACGGGATAGAAAAACCCGTAAACAAGCCATCCACTAACCAGTGGGCAGTTCTCAGCGAACTGTTGCCTATCAAAAAGAGGTACGACTTCGTCTTACCTCAGGCTACCCACAATATGTTCATCGATAGACAAGCTTAAGCTCGAATAACTTAATAATATCTACTCAGAGATTTTCATTCAATTATAATTCGCTTGAGTACTGTTCCTGTCGCCTTAATTCATTACTGTAAAGAACAATCGCACTAAAAATAAAGAATTACTTTTAATTTAATTCTGTGTGATAACTGACAAACGTTTGCATGGAATAACTTCACGCTTAATACAATACAGAATTAAACAACTTCTGTTATGGATAACAATAAAAATGAAAAATTAACCAGAAGAATTGAAAGCTCTTATTGAAGCATATGTTCCTATTTGAAATGAAATTGGAAAAGAAAAAATTTACAATTACCAACTGCATTTCATTACTGATTGAGGATTTGTATGTTATAATTCGAGCAATAAATGTATTTTTTCATAAAAATTTGACTATTAGATATACCGATCTTTTCCTAAAATCTGTTATAATATTCTTTCAATTGATAAAATTGATAACACTTTTCCATTATCATATAAACAAAAGTAAACTTTGGCTACTTGTGAAAACAGTATTTAAAACATCGTATTCAAGTGCAGCTAAAGTAAAAAGTATTGTCGTTAATTTTTACTAATATGGTGCTGCTTGCTGCTATTCAACATCTACGCAATTTCACTATACGCGTATGGTGAAGAAGATGATTTATATCGTGAATTATTTATAAATGATATCGTTGAAATAAATATTCCAAATAACGTTTCAAGAGTAATTTCATATTTTTTATACTTGTTAATTTCTATCTTCATATCAATGGCTTGTTCATATTGCTTTTCTTCATTTTGCTTTGTAATGAAGTTGAAAATGCATTTAACTGTTTGCACGAGAGAATCGTTGCACCGACAGATCTAAACGAAAAATTACATTCGATATCTTCTATTTACTTTTATAATTTAAAAATAGTAAATTCCATAGTAGATTCGCTAGTTTTATTTCTTTGAACAGTTAATATGGGATGCGGTCTCACTCTAGGTTTTTCTGCGATAAGTATAGAAATTACTGAAAAATCTATCATTAAGTTTGTGTTTTTTCTATTTTATTTATGTTTACAAATATGTCTGAGTTGTTCGCGAATAACAGCTGCAGCCAAAAATATATCCAGTGCTATACTCCAAAGTTACAAAGTTATATACAAAGTTTCTCTATCCTCCAGAGATAAATAAATTCAAAAATAGTGCTTTCGATTCTCAATCATATGTCTACATGATCTACCGGAAATTATAGCTTGGAGAGCATTTCCTTTGAATATTAATGTCATTTTTAATATTATTTGCATTGTAGACGGTTATTCTATATTGCAATATCAAATGAGAAATTTATAGATTTAAATATTTTTGCTACTCGTCTTATTGCCACTAGCTTTAAATTGTAAAAGTTTCGATCAAGCTTCTTTGTTCTCTACATTTTAAAATAGAAATATAAATGTTTAAATGTAAGTATGTTTCACTCATAAATTACAATTTTGAGTATGAAATGTAATTTAATGTCTTATACGTTCATGATATAATATTATTTTATTTAACTGTAATTTAAATAAAAGTATATTCATTGAAAGCTGCTGTTTAATTTATAGAATTACAGTCGATCCCCCTATAACACGGTAGATACGTTCCGAATTTTATGAATCCGGCTTCTAGGAGTCCAACCAATCACAGCCCGGCACGTATGCAGTTTACGGACTACGGCTGTTTGAAAGGTTTTCTTCCATAAAATTAATCGATTCTAGACTAATTCGACTCAACATTTCTAAAATACGTATATTTTTTTGGGAATAATCCATATAAACTATGATATAAACAGAAAATTGTAGGATTACTTACCGAGTGTGCACCGTTAGACTACGCCGTTGCTTAAGCTTGTTTTCGTCGTGGAGATTGTCATCGAATGGCACTCGCGTGCTTGCTGATAAATTAATATTTTTGCGAAAAATTCACTGAACTTTAGAGACATCATTAGTATAAATAATGTTTGTGGACGTTAAATAATAAATGGTTTTTAGTAGGTCCGCTGCTCGTTTAAACTCAACAGTTTGTGCAATCCTGTCGCGACACGAGTCCGCGATGACTTTTTACCGAATTATAGGAGTTTTTTTTAGCATGTTTGTACGAATACTGTCGCAATTTTTTCGCCGTGATATAGGAATCCGAACTATAGAAACCAGTGTTATAGGGGGTCGACTGTATTTGTCTTATCTGTTTAAAATCGAAATTAAATAAAATTTGTAACGGATAATACTGTATAGTTTAAAATATAGTTTAAAATTTACAAAAAAAATATTATAAATTAATTGTGTATTTATCAATGAAATTCCCATAGCTACTAAATTTATAAGTTTTACATGATTTTATTTAATAATGCTAAAAACACAAAAGAAAAAATAGCTTTAAAATTAGTTGCAAATGTTTAATCAACATCTTAATTAAAGTTCGATGTAATCCTTGAAATTATCATAGAAAGTTGAATAATATTGACTTTTTGTTTGAGAATCTTCAGAAAAAGAATTTTGGACTTGATAAAGTTTACTATAAGTTCGTATGAAGAACTCAAGTAGTATTTACTGCAGGGTTATTTATATTTTTCCGACTGTTATATATAACAGAAGGAAAATATGGTGATCGGCCATACATAAAATATAGAAAAAACCCTCGAATTTTTGCATTTTTCAATATCTCAACGTTCCTGAGTCCAATGATGTAAAAATCTTCGGGGTATAACTCTTTGACGTATAGAAAAGTTTTCACTCTGTTATGTTGCTAAACAGAGCCGTAAAAGTAAAAAGATAAGGCAAATTACCGGAGCTATTTAAAAAATAAGCAAAAAGACGTTGAAACTATCCAACATATATCACATAGTTAATGTTCAAAAGACTTCATATGACTTGCTTAAATAAAAAGTTCTTATAAAAATGCGAGAATAATTGCTTTTGTGTGATAATGAATTACAGTATTTAAATTTTGGCAATATAATTTATAAACTACGTGGAAAGTATAGATTGATGAAAATCGAGACCAGACGTGGAAGGCTTAGAGCAGGATGTCCAGATGAACCAAACTACAGTTTGGTATAGAATTCAGGTTATTTCGATTCTAAATTTTCCTCTGAACGAAGTAAGATAGATGACCGACACGACTCTATTGCTAACAGGAACAGTGACAAGACACAACTAAACGAGTGTAGTGCAGTGACAAGACACAACTAAACGAATTGAGAACATTTTGACCAAAAGTTGCAGCCCAGCATTATGATGATGATGTCATAAATAATCGCTGGTTGAAATTAGTTTGCTTTATTTGGTTATGGCAAAGTTACACGTGAGGGATCTGCTGAGGGGACACGCATTTCAAGAAGACTTTTATGGTAAGCTGGATTTTATTTAAGTGTTACTAACGTGAAGAAACACAGAAAACTTTACGTGGCCTGCCCGTTGTGTTAATTATTAGAGTTTAGTGTTTGGAGGATTTATCCACTCGGCTACTGTAGGACACTTATTAGAATTAAGAAAGTACCATTCAGAAATAAAAACAACGAGTTGTTACATTGGAAAAGTGAAATACTTATAGGCTATTCAAAAGCTTTCTCAGACTTAAACACCTGATTTCACACAGGCAATTGCTATATGCTATCTGCATTTCAGTAATAATATAGCTCGCGTATAGTAAATATAATATAATTATTTAAAAATTATATTTTTTTTATAAGAATTATGTTGAGTTTATGATTTTGTTAACTTTTGGCCAACAGATGGCGCTACGTGTAACTCAGTATGTTGAATGTAGATAAAAATTAATCGATTTATAGAAATGCAATTGATATTTTGAGGTGAGATATACAACATTATCTAAGTTGGAAGTATCTAAACGTAACTGCCGAGTTTTGTAACAATTGGTAGAACGGCCTAAGAATGTATAGCGAACAAACTAACATTTATATATATATAGAAACATTTATATATATATAGAACAAACTAACTAAGTCATTTATATATATATAGAAAGTGAAGCACATGAAGTGCTTGTCTCAAAAGCAGTTTCAACTGTTATGTCTCCAGTCTCTTAATAAATAAAAATTTCAAGTTGAAGATAGCTTTGCAACACATCACACACTTCTATGGGGAGTTAAGCTTGATAAAAGTAAAGCTTTATTTTCACAACACAGAGGGTAAGTAAACAGCAAGCTGATAGTATTATAAATGTGACAAGAGAAACTGGCAAATTTCTTGCGCTTGTTTCTGCGATTTTTCTTTTCGTTTCGTTATCCAGTATTGAATAAAAACAAATTAAAGCAAAAATAGACCCAATGAAGTAGTTGTTTTCATAATAATATTTAAGTATTAAATATTTAAAATTTCTTATGGTGCGTACTCTCAATACAAATTTTGTAGAAAATGTTGTTTATTATTTTTATACACCGTATATCTCTTTTTAAATATACAGGAAATGAAATGAAATTTATTTCGGAATTTATTCATAGTAATTAAAGAAATGTGATTACTTATAAGAATAACGTATTATCTGTTTTTTCTTTTTATTCTTAGAAGAAATTGATTTCAATACTTTAAAAGCGACGAATCCTATAAGAATTAAACATATGCATCCATCCAAAGGTACGCAACTGTTTAGTAGGTAGCAGAAACAGCAAAGGAAATTTAGAACACAGCTTCTGATATACGGCATGACTATAAAAGGAAGTTGCGCAAAGCACGTAAAGCACGAAATAAAACAGTTTGTGCTTCTATTTGGATAACAGGGAAAACAGAATCGTTCAGACGTTCGACAGACTGCAAATATAAATCATCGTATTATATCTAAAGTAATATTTTAATTTAAAATGTACGAACGAAACTAACAACACCGGACGAAATCATTCTTAAATTCGAGCAACAGATCGCAATCTCTTCTACAGTTGCAAAATGTTGGAATCACGCAGGACATCCAACAGGGATCTTCAGAGCACAAGCATTTTCGACACAAGTTTTTCATTTTTATTTTTAGACAAGGAAGGAATCCAATTTGTGTCGAGCAGAAATTCACTATTTTCATGACATATTCATTATTATTATTATTTTATTTCTATAAATAATATATTTATTATAATATGTTAACTTACTGTTGTTGTAGAGGCAAATCACAACAAAAATTATGACGACAATCTTGATGGCATCTGGTATGGAAGGAGCTTCTCTGGTGTCTGAGGCATACATACCAGAGAGACTTTCACCTAAATTAAGATATTGAACTTTTACTTTTGGCATAATTTGATGAATGTCTCGTAAACAATAAAATTTCAACAACGATTTCAAAAAATTTAATTATTGTTCAATTATGTAATTTTATTAATTTAATCGAATTATTACGTACTGTACATTTCTCGATTTGTAGCAAATACTTGTTCAGTTTCATCAAGTTTTATTAATTTTACTTTATTATTTTCCAGAAACTTATTTGCTTATTTTACCCTATATTTATATCTACTGTATATGGTTTAATTTTGTTTCGTTTGTTTAATTTTTTCTAAATATTAGATCTTCAAGGTTTATTCTTGTAAGCTCGCGGATTTTTTCGGGCGTTTTAAAATTCTAAATTTTCTGTTAATTGTCTTCGGAAAATACCCGAAGAATTTGAACTATATCGGATTTCACCGTTTGTGTAACAACTAGCTGAGGAAGTTTACATTTGAGTGTGAAGAATGCACCGTCATCGTCAACAAGAGTCGATGACGTGTCAGCTCTCTCACGAAAAGATATACTGTAAAAGGGGAGATCACCGGAAGCTCGGGGCGTCCGCACACGGAAGGTATTCTTAGTACTTGTGTTCGTCGATCTCCATGCCAAGGACTGTGATCCTGTCGGAGAAGACATAGAAGACACCACATCCTTCCATACAGACGACGTTCGCAAACTCTCCCTTCCACCTAGAGGTATTTTGGGGTTGGATTTTATAAAAGCGCTCTCTCTCTGAACTAGAACTTAGGGAAGCGACATAGCTAAGAACGTAATCGCCAATTTCTGTAAATACTTTAATATAATCGCATTTAGCTTTAGTATTTTTGTAACTTAGTTTTGTTAATTAATAAATGCTTGTTATTCTGTTGACCTGTCTCCTGTCAATTAAGGACGCCTGCCGACTTTCCGACGCACTCCCCACTCGATTTGCCCTCTTAGCCATTTAACAGACCCCGAGATCGGGTTTTACGAGCCTGTGCAGAGTAAGTGATCAATTGGGACTTAACCAGTGACCCACTGCATATCTCACATTCTAATAGTTGTATGTTTAACAATACAAAAGCCTTAAACTTAGTGTTTGACAAGTTCTAAATACGTAAGAAACAATGTGAACTTAAGGAAAAAAAATTTTCCGTTGACTTAACATGGGAATGATATTTGACACCGACATGTCCAGTTCTATGTCTAATGTTAAAATTCGGCTTTCGTTAGGACACACTTAGTTGTTTTCCAACACACAATCACTACGAAAGAATCATTCACTTCTGCCACTGAAAAATAATTTCAACATATTAATAACATAATAAATTTACAGATAATTGTGTTGCATACCTATCCAAATAGTAATCAAAATGAGGCAGCTACAGTTATTCCGGTTGACATTACACTGGCCACACCATTCCACCGTTTGCTTCTAATGCAACTATTAGTCATGTTGCTCAGCACGCTGAAGCATGACTAATAGCATGACTGACAGCATTTATAAGCGTTACTATAACACCACGTTTATAGTAACGCTTATAAATGGTATTATCTCTTGAAATTCTACGTTTATCATCGATCTAGACGAATGATGATAAACTTAGTGTCGATATATTTTAAATTAATGTGCTTTCTTATAATTGATTCTTTTTTCTCGTGTTCTTATCGTCTAATGGATATTTTAAACATTCAAAACATAACTTCAACGTGACTAATCAATTATGAATGGCTTCACTAAATTTTATTACAGAAGAAATTGTACTAATAAACGGAAAAATGATTATTTTATCTGATTGAGTCATTATTGAACTTCGATGATTTCAAAATATTTTCTCATACGGATAGTATTATCTCATGGTATTATATTACGGTATGCTTTATAATACAGATTATACAGTAGATGAGCACTGCACAACTAGAAAGAGTCCCTTTACTACTTCATTTCGCCGTCTTTTCTCTTTTTTCGGTTTTCCTGTAAGCAATTGCACATTTAGAAGTATGAAACTCCTTAGCCCGCAATACGCAGGCTCCCTTAATGGGAAAAGTGCACTACTATCTAGAACCCGTCAATAGAAGCTTACTACCATTCTGTTCATGCAAAAATATATTAAATCCATTATAGTCATACACGTTAATATTGAAAATCTGAATAATTGAAATTGTAAATTATTAATACAGTAACTTAGTATGAACACTAAACATACGTTTTTTTTCATATATCTCTAATTTACATTTGTTTAACATAGTTAATGTTGTATCTGTATACGCTCTCTTAATCCTATCCTACCACCGGATAAACATACCTTTAAATATGGTAAGTTAGGACGCAATCGAAATTTCCTCCTAACTGGGGTCAGGAATCTTCATACAAGAAGGGAAATAGAGAGGAGATAGTTAAGGATTACCCTAAACTCTGATTCTACTGTACTATTTTAGATGCGATTTTTTACGTTTATGCGGAAAATCTATTTTATTTTTAGACCCATTTAAAATTTCTCTAATTACTCTCCTAATAGGAAGACCTAATTCTTGCACCCGGTAAAAACAGGTAAGATCGGCTATAATCTAATAATCTTAATATTCGCCATTTTACTTTTAAGCCTGAGCAACGCCAAGCTCATCTTCTAGTTTCTTAATAAACTACTGTGTTTGTTTTAATTTATGGTATTGTCGCCAGAAGATTTTTTTTTTCAAACTACTTTACAATTTTTACATAAAGAAAGCCTCCAATAAAAATTCGTGTATGTCACTAAAGTTTTATGTATTTTTGATTGTCGATGGGGGCTGAAACGACAGAGAAGAAAGACAAAATTTTATTTGTATTATTCAAAATATTTTTACTATTTTAATTACAGTCAGCCAATTGTAAAATTGTATTCTTGTATACTTTATTATTGTTTTTACTTGTATATACATATTCAACCATTTCAAATACGACATAATTATTTTTAATATTTTCTAATAAGCTTTTATTTATTTCAAAGATTCCATAAACTCATTTAAAAATGTTTCATTAATTGTAAATACATTTCTAAATTATCATAGAAAATGCGTTAAACATAATTTGTGTTAATAAACGAATGAACGTTTTCCTCATTAACTGTATAAAATTTATGAAAATCTCGCATAAAACAACATTAAAAGGCCGATGTAATATTTAATACTTTAAGCGTAATGAAATATAATTGTAAACGTGAAATATGTCGCATGACAAAACTCAATATTTTAAGTAAAATGAAATATAATCTTACTTTCTGTAACAAATCCTCGATTATGAGTGTTGCATCCATCGACAGTAGCGTACGATTCGGATACACCAACTCCATATTTTGAGCAACTGTAAAAGCATTTTTATATTAATCATTGATATTTTATTGGGAATAAATTCAAAATTATAATCGCTTACTGTTTATCATGTCGATAATGGATAATGAATTGATGTCGACCTTCATTTTTTTCCAGTTAAATGTCCAATGGGGTGCTTCCGATTAACATTTCGTATAATACGGTGGCAAATGTCCAACAAATTGCAGTAAGCATCTAAAAATAACATATTGATTACACGAGTGTGAAACAAATGATGTGATTGAATTCGAATAGAACTCCTTACCATAAGGCTTTTCCTCAAGAATTTCTGGACAAAGATAGAACAGTAAAATTTTTTGGGATTACGATCAAACTGACAGAAAAAAAATTAATCAATAAGAATTTAATATTCAATAAAAATTAAAATATTGTATTATACACTACTGTGCAGAGACCAAAATCGATTAACTGTGCTCCTTTCTTGCTATCAAGCATGATGTTATAAGAGCTTATGTTTTTATGAATTACTCCTCTCTAAGATACAAAGAAATTTATTGAAGGAAAGATGAATAAACAGATTTAGAAAGTCACTTTTATTATGAATAAACATAATAGCTGAAGCAGCTCGCGAAGCATTCAATTTGGCTTGGGTTTCTAGAAAGCGTCCATTATTTTATAAAAAATTAGTCAAGTTCCGTCGGTCCACGTAGTCGGAGACAAAAAACAAACTAAAACGGAGAATTATTACTTCACAGAACCATAAAATATTACTAATAATTTAAACGTAAAGTGTAATATTCACAAAAACATTTACGTTCTAATAAATGAATTACTATAGATAATGCTTTTTCTTCGTCAACGTAAATTTCTACTTATGTACTTTGGGTAAATAATGATATCATTATCTAATTTATTAGTTAAATCACATTAAGCATAATACCGATCATTATAATTAATATGCCTATTTTTTTGCAATAATTTTAATGAAAGAGAAATGTATGATTAAAACAATAATAATAATTTTTTCTAAAGAATTCTTCAAAAAGCTTATTAATTAAACTAGAAATGAAATTTCAGATATTTACGTCTACTAATTATATTAGCATTTATAATTTTATNTATTTATACGAGACAACTTCGATTCTGCAATTAGATAAATATCGGATTTTTACAGAAAATCTGAGTAAAAAATCATTCGTTTTATTCTTGAAATTATTGGTATGTAACATCGAACTGAAAAATGGACATTTAGTAGATAAGAAATACGAAATTATTTATTAATGCGAATTAACAGAGGAATTTATACAATACTAGAAAGGAAAAAATTTACGTTTTTTTTATTGTCAATATTTTTCTCGTTTATTTCTCATTACTCTTGCACAATAAACATGAATATTCTAAACCAGTGTTTTTCAACCTTCTTGAATACGCGACCCCTTTACAAGTTAAAAAATTCTGGCGACCCCCAGGGCCATATTAAAACTATATCACTGATTTTAAAAAGTAAGTATTTAATTTTCTTTCTGTTGAGACCTAAATATCGATCGAAAAACCAATTGTACTATAAATTTTACAGTACAACTGGTTTTTCAGGTTTATTTTAGTGTAAAATAAACAGGCAAAGCCTTATCACTAAAATTGCAGTGTTTTTTTTATTGTAGTGTAGGTCCTACAAACACTTGTCTTTTTCTTTTACCCGCGACCCCCGTGTAAGGCTTTGCGACCCACCTGGGGGTCCCGACTCACAGGTTGAAAAACACTGTTCTAAACTAAATTCCTGTTACATTAGAGCCAATTCGCAAAAT